GAATAATCAAATAATCAAAACAATCTAACACACTTAAGAAGAAGACAAGAGAAAAAAAAAACAAATATAAATACAAATAATAAAATGTATCTACACGGCTAATAACATAGCCATAGAGCTGAAGATCACCTTAGGCAGGTAAACTAATTCAAATTTCGAAAGACCTGCGCTCTCATAATACACAATGTTGTGTATATATTTTATACGAGTATCTATATACTTTCTATATTTATTTTTACCTTCTTTCTGGTTATTTTGCTCTTGTTTGAGCACACAAGTCGGTCATCATTAGATGTTTATCTAATTTGAAATTTTAAGGGTTTCCTTCACTTCATTAAAACATTTTTCACTCATTTAAATTCATTCTTCATTTGCCTTCCAAAGTAAACGAAAAACAACAATAAATATTTAAGCATACAAACCAGGAACCGTGCGTGCTTTTTTTCGTTAAGATTTATTTAACCTAACCTTATGTCCAACTTTACTAGATTTTGGTTTGAAATTTTCAGAATTTCAACAATTAGCAGGGGGCAGTGTACATTTTCTTAGGTTTCGATCACGTTTTACTTTTGGATTTTATAAACAAAATTAAATAGGTTTCTTCTGAAAGAAATTGGAGAATAGTTTATTTAATATATCTTTTAAAAATTGAATTCTTTGCTTTGAATATTAATGTATCTTTTTTTATGATATTCCTTTTTAAATTGTTTATTTTTAATTAATTGCTTATAATTGTCTGCTATGACTTTTTATATGCCTTCTATAGAGAATCGAAGGTTATTTTACAAACCATTTATAAAATTTATTCTTAAAAATATAAAATTAAATATTTTGGATTAAAATTTGGTTTCTGTAGTAATAAACTGTACCAGCTAAGCAAGGATGCAACGCATTAAAATACATAATAATTACTTAAATTCTAATGAACTATAAGATTTTCTTCATTTTAATTATTGTACATTGAAGTTTTTATGAATTTTGACCAAATATAACCGGACAAGGTGATCTTCAATTCTTCTGCCTTATGCTCTGCATAATAATGTCAAAAATGATTATTTTATATAGTTGGAACTTTGTCAAGGAAATAATAATTAAACACATTCCAATACAGTGAGTACAACTTCTGTTTTGAATTAAAATAACAAAATTACATATTTTAACATGTGTGCTGCCAAATACAGACAAGAAAAAGGTAATGACTTATTAAAAACCCATAAAGTTTCCCTATTAATTTTTAATATCGATTAGAGGAGTTTGTAATTTTTCACACTAAAGCAATAATTCAATGAAGTCCAGCTTTTTATAGTTTGATAATACTGTAAAATATAATAAAATATAGATATAATATATATAGGTATAATATAATGTTAATGTATTAAAGATATAATATAATATTAATATATTAAAGATATAATATATATATAATATGCTATTAATATAATATAGATTTATTATATATATAATATAATATTAATATAAATTAATATTATATTAATACAACATAATATTAACATAATAAAATACTTATATAATATAATGAAATATTGATATAATAAAATATTAATATAATGCAATGTTAATATAACATAATATAATATTAAATTTGATTTTAATGTCAATATAAAAGTAGTGACTATTTGTACTTTAATAGAAACTATGGTATTTAATAGAAAGGTTTCAAAAGGAAGTAAATTGAATTTGGCAGGGTATGAGTTCAACCCTTGGTACTTGCAGTGTCAAAAATTTATTTACGAATAATTAAATATAAGAATTAAGATTCAAGATCACTGATGATGGATATTTGGCAATACTCGAAACAGTCAAAAATTTAAATATTTAAAATAATATAAAAATAATATTTGTTGTTGTAGTTCACTACTTTTCAAAACCTTCATAATGCAATATTAATAGGTATAACATAACATAAAAAGAGTCCATAATCGATCATAAAGTATGTATTATGTTTTATTTACAGTAACCTGAAAAAGTTTTCGTAAGTACAGCTTTTGATTACAACTCACGTTAAGAGTTCTTGTCGTAGTAATCATAAACTAAGCCCGAGCAATCTGCCCAGTCATATAGAATGTGACAAAAAATTTCAACTTCTTTTAGGCCCATCTTCTTAAGATTGTAGAGCTATGTTATTGTAAACTATGTTAACCATTATGAGCAACCTTAGCTCTGTTTTGTCAAGGACTGATAACTGTTTCCAAACAAATTGATGAACTAGTTTTCCTAATTAAATTTATATAAAAATCAAACGTTACTGAAGACCCATTTTTAAAGAAAAATCGGTTTTAACATATTGTAATGAAGTGAACTCAAATAGATATTGCAAACTATCCATTATCAGTTGTTTCTGGAAATAGTTTTTGGATTGGTTAGAATATAAAATTGTTATTATCAGCTACACTCATCCAATATCAGCGGTGTTTGGAAATATTTTTTGAATTTAAATGTTGATATATAATATTTAGCTTTCAAGTACTAAGTATTGAGCTCAAATCTAGCCGCATTTGAATGCTTAAAACCCCTAAACCAACGCTATATTTGACTTGCGCTTGTATATAAACTTTGAAATTCGAGTTTTGTCAATGAGTTGTTATATCATCAACGAAGACATAAACCATGGCTACATATAAATGCCATTAACTATTTTAGTTATTTACAGAAGACTTAAGGATTATCTTTTTGGCTTTGTTAGAATTCGTTTTTTGTTGATGAGTATCTAAATTATCGAATAATTCGACACGAATAACGTTTTTTTTTTCTAAACAAATAGAAGAATTAGTTCCTTCACTTCGCAGATACTTAAAAGTCGTACAAATTGTATCTGATTTTCATTGCAAATATTGCGACAAACACTGTCGTATATTACTGATGACACCATCAATTGACTCAAAATAAGTCTCCAATGTGACAAATGTAAACAGATCACGTTTATATTCGAAATGTATTTTGTTGTTGTCACTTTGGTTTGTTAAGACATTATGTGGTTATCGAGCTCTTTATTCGAGATTATGAATGCCATCAATGTTACTAATCATTAATTATGTCTATTGAAAATGTATCATTTAATTTACCCTCGCTTCACTTATCGCTTACTATTTCTTTCTCAGATATTCCATTTTGTTTAAATATTTATTTACGCTATATATACTGTTTAATTTTCTAGTGCTGCCAATAGCATTTTATATGTAAAAAATTGATGAAACGGGGATTTTTTTAACCAAAAAAAGCGTAAATAAACGCATTAAGTACAAAAAAAGATCTAGTATTTATTTGTTGTTATACATACACTCATACGACATATATGCTCTACTAAAAATATTTTATCCAAAATTGAATTATACATTTAAAGAAAATTTCACTTCTTTAATATTAAACAATTTAATAATAATGATGTATTGAATTACAGTCTGTATTGGATCGGTTAGAGCTTTAATATTTGACAGTTTTCTTTCCTACGCTGCCAATTTTGCATATTAAACATGTTAGCTAGCTCTTTTATGGTATCAGGTTTTTAGATTGTATAACTTTACTTTATTTTAAACATCGGCGTAATGACATTGACCTTTGATTCAAAGAAAAAGTGGCGCGAAGTATTGGAAACGTGATAATAAGAAACTTTATTTTCTTTTTAATATCAATTTTTGTAGATTTTGCATTATTCTAGTTGATTTAAAATTATTTATTTACTTATTTATAAGGAACTATAAAATTATAATTTTATACTATCAAGTTTGCTAAATTAAATCAATTTATTTTAAATATTTCATGTATTTATTTTTATTACTTATATTATATATATTAATAAATAAAAAATAATTTTCGTTTCTACATTATTTTATAAGATTAGGCAGGTTCTTCAATTGATCCACAGCTAGCATTAGTTTTATTGTAATCTTCTATTTATTAAGATTGTAATAGTATTATTATATATGATTTTACTATAGAGTAAAGTTTCAATTTTCTATTCTACACACTATTATAAACATAGGTGCATTAGGTTTATATCGTATTGAAGAATATATTGCTCTACATATATTTATATTTACCATGATAATCGAATTTTTCCATACTTAAAAACATAATTCTTTATAATGCAAGTAATCCAGCAACTTACTGAACATTAATAGGTATCTCCAAAGATCTATAGTCCTCTTCAAAGTTCTAAAGTCACTCTGAAAATGTCTATAGCGTCCTCTTCAGGGCACTGGGTGGAGTTACCCTAAATATGATTATGGGTCTCTTCAGGACACTGGATGGAATCGCCCTGAAGATGTCTATAGTCCTCTTCAGTACACTTGAGTCATCTTGAAGATGTCTAAAGTTTTCTTCAGGACACTTGAGTCGCCCTGAGGATGTATATAATCCTCTGCAGTGTACTGAAGTCACCATGAAGTTGAATATAGTCTTCTTCAAGGCACTGAAGTCACCTATATACTATACTCTAAATATCAGTGTAAATAATAATTTTTTTGACATTTTTGAAAAGAAAAAAGTGAACGTGTACTGTTTTGTGATACTTTTACAAGTGCCTGACAGAGACAAACGATATGACATACCATAATCTATGCGTTTCATCTACATAGCTTCTGTAATAAGTATATGTTGGATCCATTATTAAATAAATTTTTTACTAATTCATTTATTAATTGTGCTGCATTTTCACATTAAACAGTAAAAAAAGCAATCATGTATTTACATTACATTTCGATTTCTAATTAAAAAATTTAACTAAAAATTAATTAATTAATAAAATTTAATTCTATTTAAATATCAAATATTATTTCGAAACCATTTCGTAGTTGTATCAGTCTTTTATCTATGATATCACGTATTATAACTGCCACTACACTAGTTTTCTTTTACTTATTGAGCATAATAATATTTATTTATATTTTACTCTTCAATTATTTATATTGTAGTAACTTAATATTAATAATCAATAATATAAAGTGTGCTATTTGTTACAAAAATAAAACTTTTTTTATTATTTTAGTTTATCATACAAATCATTTCACATTGGAAATTGGCCATTTAGTAAACTACAAATAAAAGTAGTTACAAAAAAAAAACATATTTGAACAAAGGACGAAACCCTGTACAGGGAAATTGAAATTATTTATTTATGTGAATTAAAAGTGGCAAAGAAAAAATAAATATGTTCATATATCATTACACCACAGTGAAACTCTTATGGGGATTTGCCTGAAAGCTGTGGCTCTTGCACCTATTATACCTAATTACACTGGTCTCGTATTTTGCATTCCATATGTTATTAACTCTATATCTAAGCGATACACGCAATAACTCATTTCATGTATAACTAGTCTACTAGTACACGTATTAACATCACAATATTTACATATATAAATATAAAGCTTTACGCAAGCGACAGACTGAATAACAGACATATAGAGTGACTAACTGTTTATTCTATACAAAATGAGCTTGTGGAAGCGTATTGCTTGCTCTCCTGAAGCTGTGCAACGCATGAAAATATATTACGACGAAAAAGGACTCGCCGACGTACGCGTCTGTTTGGCACAATGGATCGAGGAAAGAATTATGTGAGTAAAAATGTTGTAGCTAGAAAATTGGATCTATCCGTTGCCGTATATAAAAGTTTATATTAATAATATTAACTAAAATTGTAATAATAAAATACATACATTTATAATATGTATATAATATATATTCAAAAAATATTTAATTTAAGAAAAAAATAGTTATATTTTATTTATTTAGTTTAATATTTTGATGTTATGTAGTATTATCAATAGCATATTTGATAATTTTTCATAGATACTTTAAATAATACAAAAAGTACTCGTATCATATATATATTTAATCCTTTAACTCCTAGGAGGAGCATAGGGCCGCAACAAGTATCTTCTATTCGGTATGATTGGTGGTCGAACATTCGGTATGATTGATAGAGTACAAAAAGTACTCATATTATATATATATATTTAATCCTTTAACTCCTAGGAGGAGCATAGGGCCGCAACAAGTATCTTCTATTCGGTATGATTGGTGGCCAATAGCTTCAACTCTCCTCAGCTTTTCCGCCTGTGTAGTATTTTCATGTCGATTTGCCTTCTACAGGTACGAGCAGGTCTGTCCCTTCTTCTGCTACCCATAGGGTTTCACTCAATCGCCATTCTTGTGGTGTCACCAGTTGATCTACACAGTGTGACCGACCTATTCCCATTTGAGTTTTTTGATTTCGGTTCTTATAGGTGTTAAAAAGTACTCGTATTAAGTAGAAATAAATACCTAGATATTGTTGAAATAGTTGAGAGTATTTTCCTTTTCGCAGATAATTAAATTTAATTTTGATAAGTAGATATTATAATCTTAAGAATTTGTTTATTTATTTGTGCCAAAATTGTCATTCTTGTGTGATTTGGTCCATTAAAAAATGTATTTTGTTATTAACAAAGAAATTTTTATTTGCCTCCTACATCGCCATCTAAAAATAAAAAAATAAAATAAAATCATAATGAACTTATCCATTCTGGATTAAATAAATAATACAAAATTGTGTCTTTTTTTTTTACTGATTGAAAGCTAAAAATCTTATCTGCTAAGATATTTCCCCAACAAAAGCATTAATTCTCTTCGGTTTAAAAGAACTATTCGCCTAACAGAACTGATTTTGTATGAGAAATAAAAACTTTGGACTAAGAACATAATATGGTTAGAAGTGATGTTGGTTTATGATAAGAATATCTGTTTAACAGTGCTTTCACGGTATTAAGTTTTCGATCAATTAACCAACATACTAATTATTGTGTGTAATTAATACAATTTTTTTAAAATTTATAAATTTATTCAAAATTTAAATTTTTATTTATTTAATATATGATAATATATTTGCATATATTCATTGTATAACGCATATATAGTGTAAGGATTGTTCAGTAAGTCAGTGATAAATCAAAGAAGTTGATTATTTTCTTGCTTTTAAATGTATATTTTGACATACACTGGTTCTCTACAAGTTCCAAAAACTCGCTGCAATAGTATTACAATTTCTTTTATAACTTTTGAAATATAGAAAAGCCATATACCTATGCAGTAATAGTTTAGAAATAAGATATAAGTCTTTTATATTATAAGTATAATAATAATGTAAGCGTATAATATATACATATATGTTTGTAAAGTATTACTTGAGTTCCACCGCAGTACCTTAGTTACCAAAACTGTTATTTATAGTCGCACTATTTTATTCATTGTGTTTGTAAGTCTTCTAATAATAATATTTATGAGGCGTAAACCACATAAAGCATTGTATTTAGTTTAGTCTATAGATCATCATTTAGATTTGACGAATTTTAATTGCTAAATCAGCAGTAATGTGTGATATCGTCAATATTTATAAATAATCCATATATATTAATGATTGGTTTTTGGTTTGGGGTTTGATGTTTATTTTTTATGATTATATCAATGTCGTCCAGAGTTTCAATAGAATATGGAGAAATAAAAAAATTTCTGTCTTTCTTCCAAACAGTAAATAAATAAACATTTATATGGCGAGTAGTGTAGGGTCTATATGAATATTTTTCACTAAGCTTTTAGGATTTGCACTTTCCTTCGTTGATCAATTGTTATATATTTTCAAAATATTTAACAATAACAATATTGAAAATATTGTAATTTTAATAAAATTAGATAAAAAGAACCAAAGGAACAAATGCAAATTTTACTAATGAAATGAAATCATTAGTAAAATAGATCTTCAATAGATAGGGCTACATCAGAATAGTTAAAAATGTCCAAAATTTTATCTATCACTTGTTTAAGTTTTCGATTTAATTTAATATTTTTAAATTTCAAATAGCAAAGCATTCTATATATACAAGGAATGGGTCACATTAACTTTACATTCTAAACTCATTAATGTCAAATCGTAATGGCTAAACAATAAGAAAAAATTCCTTGAAACAAGGCGTTTCAAAGTGCAATTTTAAATTCCTGGAACTGGTACAATTTATTTGTATTATTTGAGTCAAAAAGGAAATACTGTATGATATAATAAAAGTCAGAATGAACAATTTAAATAGACATAATAGGAATGAATTGATTCCTTTGTTATGGAATTTTTTTTTCTTAAAGTTATTAATATTAATATACCAATTATAATTTAAAACTAAATGTTATTAGCTTGTTCCTTTGCTATAAAAATTAAATTTATATATAAAAAATTTTAAATAGAATATTAGATTTTTGTTAGGTTCCAAGACCTATCTATTCCAAATTCTATTCCAAATTCTATTCCAAATTCTATTCCAAATTTGCACCAGTCAGCTGCTTCAACAAAAGTAAAACCAACCAACTCTGTACTACGATACCTGCGGTCTCTGGTTATTAGGTAGTAGTCGGGGCCATGCCTGTGCGAGTGGGGAGGAACTGTACCTCATTTCATGTGACAATGTCCACCATTGGCTAAGAGAGCAGTCGGGGCCATGACTGTGCCTCGTTAAAGGGACGCTGGATGCACAAAATGTTTAGGACTTCTACTTTTAATGTGGTCTTTCAGATCCAGCGTATGGATAGTGTCTCATTCGGAGTGTAACAATGGGTATTATTTGTGCTTAAACTTCCATCAAACTAAACATAATCTAAATAGTAGATTAAGAAATCATAAATCTTATACATAAGAAGTATCTATATTTGAAGAATCATTTTTACTCGTTTCAAATTAAATGCGATTGTTATACATCCAACATTCACGACGAATGGACAATTTAGGTTTGTTTGTAAAGTAGAAAAACTCAGATGCCGACAAATCTGAAAAATATCTTGCCTGTTTCATGATATTTATTACGTGCTTGTTCAAATACCAGTGCATTATGCGTATACATTCCAGAATCATTCCTCTTTTTAGACGATCAAGTGCCTTTCGGTCCTTCCAACACAGGTTACAATATTTTCTTACATACCTAAAGCGTTTTAGTTGTATTCTTTGATTTCTCCATAATCAAAGAAAATTGAAATATATCGATCTCTTTTTGACTATTCTACATATAAGATTCTAAATTTATTCTATATATATACTATTGTTGTTGTTGTTGTTATAGCCAGCACGAATCTGCTTGTACATATAGTCCCTTTTGGGAGTGCTGAATGGCATTTGGTCGTCGTACTCGATTAGTGGCTATGGAACGTAGACGCGCCGTTCTTGGAACCATGTACTTGTATATATGGGGTATAAAATCTATGAAATTTGCGTGAAATAGGCAACCATCACTTTTGCCTAAATAGCCATTTTTTAATAAAACTAATATTCGAATTATATTTATATTGTTTAGTATTTATACTAATATATTTTATTTTTTATTTGAATAGGACTGAACAGATTATTAATCCAACAACCGATTTATTTGAGCAAATAGCACATCAATTCCGTGAAGATTTGAAACTTAAACTTATCTCATTAAGCAACGATAATTTATTTAAACTTAAACTATCTGGTATGTGTGCGCATGTTTCACAAACTCCAGCCGTAGATCTTTATCATCATTTTCATAACGGTCTCCAAAAGGAGTTTCATATGATTGAAGCACTTCCACAAAATCCAGTTATGTATGCAACAAATTATGGTAACGGAATAGGTGGTGTACCACTTTCCGGTAACCTCCGCGATGATATTGGCAAAGATAGTTTGTTGGCTGCACATGCCCGTATACAACATGTTTGCCAAGAAATCGAACGTATATACCAATGCATTGGGCCATTCCGCGCCGATTACGATACATTTAATAATCGTTTCAATGAGTTTAATCAGAATAAAGTTCTTATGAATACACAGCAACAAGCTGAACATAACAGACAACTGGAGGAAGGCTATAAACAATTAATGAATGTTGGAAATGGTATTATTATTGAATTTCGTCGCATCATAACCGACTATGATTCAACACAAGAATGTGTTATGAATGAATTGAAAAGTTGGAAACGTAACCAGGCTTTAGCTGGCAATGGTGCACAGTTTCGTGATAATCTTGATGAGATCCAACGTTGTATAGAATTGTTGGTTGAAATTGTTGGAAAGCTAATAAGAATGGCTTCTTTAATGAATTTCCTTACTTTTGTTGATGATATTACTGAACTCATTAGACATTTGCGTTATTCGCAAGAGGTACTTGTTTTCTCAGCATTCGTTGTTGAAAAGCAACCTCCACAAGTTATGAAGACGCATACTAGGTGAGTGCAAATAAATATTTTAATTTTTTAAAAATAATAAAAAAAATATTTATATATAGATTTGCTGCAGCTGTACGATGGCTTATTGGACCACAACTTGGTGTGCATATGAATACCCCAACTGTTGAATGTGTCATTCTTTCAGGTATGGAACAATATTGGTTTAATCTTAATTTTTATTTCTATTGATAACAAAATTAAATGATTTCACTTATATAGAGGCGCAGGCTTTACGTCAATACACGCAACGTTTAGTAGGCGATTCTACTTCAAGTCCACCACCATCTTCTGGGGAAATATTGAATAACTTGGGTACCTTAGAATACCAACAGCAAACACGTGTGCTACAGGCTAGCTTTAGGTATTACACTAAAATATTATAATATATTATATGTTATATTTCATTTGAATTCTATATATATATATTTTACTTTGCTTTTAGAAATATGCAATTAAAGAAAATTAAGCGAGCTGAAAAAAAGGGCACTGAAAGTGTGATGGATGAAAAATTTTCACTTCTGTTCTATACTTCAACAATTGTTAACGAATTCAAAATAAATGTAAGCATATTTGTAGTTTGCTTAGTATATAAATATAATTTTATTATATTACAGGTTTGGACACTTTCTTTACCTGTTGTCGTTATTGTACATGGCAACCAAGAGCCACAATCCTGGGCTACTATTACATGGGATAATGCTTTTTCTGAAATTATGCGTGAACCTTTCCAAGTACCAGAAAGAGTTTCTTGGTCTCAATTATCATTAGCTTTGAATACAAAATTCACTTCTGCTACTGGTCGTTCTTTAACTGAAGATAATTTAAATTTTCTTTGTAAGTACTGTAATAGATAAAAACATTTTTTACATTTTATACATATTGAGTATCTTAAATTGTTTTTTTAATACCTTCTATATAGATGAAAAACTATTCCGTAGTGATGGAATGGGTGACCATAACGATTATATTACTTGGGCCCAATTCTGTAAAGAACCATTACTGGATCGTCAATTCACATTTTGGGATTGGTTTTATGCCATTATGAAACTAACCAAAGATCATATATTAGGTTTATGGAAAGCAGGTCTAGTCGTTGGCTTTATAAATAAACTAAAAACAACTGATGAAATATTACGCTCAAAACCAACAGGAACATTTTTGGTGCGTTTTTCAGATAGCGAATTGGGTAAGTTTTTAAAGTATTAAATGTATAGAAAATATATAATTAAATAATTATTTTTAAAATGAACAAACATCTTATATCTTTCAAATTTAAAAGAAAAACTCAATAGAAAAATAAAATTAAATTAAATTAATTACTATAACATTTATAAAAAAAATAAAAAATTTAATTTAATTTAAATTAAATGAAAAATAAAAATACTTAAATTAATTACAATAAAATTTATAAAAAAAAGATGAATTGTTTCTATTAATTTTTTTTTCCATTTATGACTAAAACCAATAACCTGTAAAATAATAAACATATACAAATTAAAATTATGTTTGTTTACATAGGTGCTATTACTATAGCATTTGTTAATGATAACGGAACTGTATTGTTTATTGCTCCCTGGGCAGCACGTGATTTACAGATACGTGGTTTAGCTGATCGTATACACGATATACATAAATTATGCTATCTATATCCAGATAAACCAAAAGATGATGCATTTGGTGAATTCTACACACAGCGTGCTGGTAAATACAAATATTTTATACTTACTTAGATACTTATATATAGTTTTATCTGTATGTTTTTTTATATGAAATATTTAGAAGCTTCTCGTGATGGCTATGTATCAAATTCTATAAAAGCTCATGTGCCTGCAATTGAAGATGACGCTATGACACCACAACATGTTATGCAATCACCTCAATCTACTCCACATGATATATCAATGCAAAAGTAAGTTAATTTGTTTTAATTACTTTAAGTCATATTTTTATTTTATCAAGCATTTTTTGTTTTATTATTTATATTTATTTTTCTTATTATTGTATAGTTATTAAAAATGCAAAAAAAAAATATTAATTAAATTTTAATATGAGTTTATGCTTAATTGAATGTGTCACTTTTAATATTAATAGTTCTTTATGTTCTTTGTGTTTTAAATTAATTTAATTTAAGAATTTAATAGCGAGTATTAACAAGTGCTTTTTAAAATCACTTTGGATATAAGACACAGTCTAGATATTTTAGGTTATATTAAACTTGGTGGGCTGGGTGTTTTTCTATTTGGTTAATTCGTCTAGATTAGTAGAGCTCAGATAAATTACATCAACCACAACATATTTTTGATTTTAATATTAATTGAATAAAATTCCACATATAACATGCCAAATATTAACAAATAAAATTTTTACGATTAAAACGTTCCCATTTGAAATCATGCAAAACACATTTTTGTTAACAATTTATTAAAATATTACTTTGTTAAAATTTTTGGATTTCCTCTTCTCTACCAAAATACTTATAAATAAGGTTTGCTGATGTGTCTGGACTATATTATATGATAGATGGTGCACTAAGTGGCTGTATATAGTCACAGAGACTATATATTTAAAATAGTCAGCGATTGAGAATTAGTTTATTAAACTAATTCAAGATAAACTTATGTTCAAGTTAAGATCTCCGAAAGAATTACATAGGGTGGGCGCTTCATACCGTATGAACCGTCTGTGTTGTAGGTTTAATACTATAATTTATAGAAGCAGTTGAATTTAGGGAAATGCTTTGAATTCATTAAGAGCCAAAAATAGAGCTCTAGGTCACAGTGCAAGACGTTCCCCAACTTAATTATAATATAAAATCCATTGGAGTACAATTGAAAAAACCATGGCATTTGCGTTTTTTTTGTATTATATTGTAGTGCCATTTCGTGTAGAACAAAATTTAAAATATTAGTATATTACATAAATATGTCTTCTCTTTATTATCGAGAACACAATAGAAAAATAAAAATTTCATAAGATATTCTTACTACAGTAATAAGAATAATATGTGTGCATAAGCTATGAAAGATAGACTAGCAACTTAAATAAATTGATAGGGTAAACCTTTTTAAATTAAGTCCATATTTTTCTATATATTTCGATAAGAAATACTATAACTAGAAATCTAGTTCGATTAGAAAAGGGCGTAATAATGATAAACAATTTTTAATATAAAAATTTAGTGAAGTAGGTTTTGGACTGATCTGGCCTATACAGCTTTGTCGGATACTGCCAAATATCTGTTATCAGTGATCATTTGAAATATCTAATATCTCTCTAAATTTTGAAACCTTCAATGTAAAATTTTTTAATTAGTTTTATTGCTTAATAAACGATGCAATTTCAATTTCCTGGGTATACTGATTTGACATCGGTCTGTCTGTCTACTTAAATCAGAAAAAAAGTATTTTTGTGTTTTAATTTAATTGCAATAGACAGGCTAACAAAAGTATTGAATCGATATTATGTTAATCTTTTTTTTTTTAAATTATTTATAATAAATTAAATATTTTGATAAAAGTGGCACATTATTTTTATTTTATAATTTCAATATTTTTCATTACGGTGTTTGCTGCTTGTTTTATTCGCTTTAAGTTTAATTATATTCCTATAATCTATAAATTTATATACATATATATATATATATATGCTTTTAGCAAAAGGTAATTAGATTGCAATACTTTAAATTTTTGAATTACTTTTAAAACTTTTACATTTATATTTTTTGCTTTTAAATTTGTATATGAAAGAATAAAAGTTAATATAATAAAAAATATATATTAATAATTTATAAAGGCTTATATAATTCGATTGGATATTTGAATTTAAAGCAGCTTAACGAAACCACATTTGCATTTTTAAATTTGCATTACGTGATGCTTATGTATTCTAAATTGATAGTTAAAAATTAAAAAAAAAAAAAATATTTATTTAAAAAATTTTAAATATTGTTTTCGTTTTTTATTTCGATAATCAACACACTTACCTACCTAAAATTTCAACAAATAAATCGCAACTATCAAATCCACTGCCGCCAACCAACAATACTTACTACCTACTACTATAACCACTACTCTTCTATTTTTAATTACTCCTAAAAAAATTTTTCTCCATTTTATCGTTACTACTACGGTAGTAATAATGCCTTAGAGGAGTTCGATATATACAATTTGACGAGTAATGATTTTAACATAGAAGATGAATTTGGGATGTATGATCCAATATAATAGTCTGAAAATTTGGGGGAACTACATTACATATAAGTGGTGGAATGCAACGACAGTGCCTGTAATCGTAATTTAACAATATAAGTACAGGTACTATTTAAAACTATAATTTTTAGTTATTTTTTTTTTTGCTGAAATTAATGTTTCTTTTAATTGATTATTTTTAACTTTAATTAAATTAATTCATTGGACACATTTGTGTTTTTATACTAAATATTTAACTTTAAATATTTAAATTTAAGTTCATAAATAAAAAACGTAATTAATAAGTCCACCAATCAATAAATCAAATGAATATATTTTTGTACTTGTGCTGTTTGTGTTTATGATATTTTGAATTTTTCAAATAATCCGAATATTCGGATATAAGCAATTAGTAGTTCGAATAGTCTTAAATATTCGGATAATGTGAATTATTTAAACTATTCGAATAATTTGCATTATTTGGATAATTCAAACTATTCGGATAATTTGCATTATTCGGATAATTCAAACTATTCGGATAATTTGAACTGTTCGTATATTTTTTTGTTACAAATCCGGATATTCGCATTCGCCAAATAATTCAAATATCTAAATATTCAATTAATATGAAGAGCACTTTCTCGTACTAAATAAATAAATACATTTTCAATAATATGCATTTCAATTTAATTTAACTTCACTTATCAGTGCATATACTGTTTACTAATATTAGTGTAAAATATTAGTTATATATTTTTTATATTTGTTCTGAGTTAATCTTAATAACAAATAGTATTATAATTTATTTTGTTTTATATATTGATGATGATGTTTTTTTAACAAAATTTTTGGATAAAACTTTTTCATAATCTTTATACTTTGTGAAACTGAAAACTTTTAAAACTGTTCCAATTCTTGTTCTAGGATTTATTTTTAGAATTAAAAACCTATTAGGTTTATAATAAGCACTGTATAAAACGTTGTACTTTTTTAATTAATCTTTTAAATAAATTTATTATTATCATTTTGTTAAAAAAACGGTCTCATATTAATATAAATATTATACTAATATAACTATTATACCAAGTAGAATATTATATTAATATGAATATGACTTAACTATAAATAAATTACTTACACACGACTCAACATGTGTATCATATAAGTTAGATAGTTTTTATTTATTTATTTTTTTTTTTAATTTAAAAAACAAAAAAGAAATGTGAACATTTGTATAACTTGTCCATCACAACATTCTAATATTTACATTATCATTTAATAAAACATTTCAAAATAAGGTCTCTACTCAGAGAAAAAGTATTGCATCTAATTACATTATCGATCTCGCCCATGAATCTCACATTTTATATATAATTATATATTTTATTTACTTTCTATTAGCTTGCAGAATAGCACAATTATGCATCTTTAAATAGTGTTTAAAATTTACAAGAACTATCTATTAAATAAAATTTAAATATACCGAGAAAGAAAAATTGAAAAAAATCCAAAGAAAAAGTAAAATTTTGTGTAGTCAATAATTGAATCTAATATATAAAAGTTATATATGAATTTGGATCGGGTATAGTAATAATTTTTACATTAAATGTTTATCAAAAATGCATAACATTTATATTAAAAACCGAATTTATGTAGAATATAATTTTTAAAAAAATAAAATTTGTAATTTTAAAAAAATTTTAAAATTGGTATATATCAACGAAATATCTTTGAATAAAAAACTATAAATTTAATATTTTAAAGAATAAAGATATTTGTTTACAAAAAAAAAATTAATTGCATGGTGTTTTGCTCTTTGCAATATTTTATAAAAAAGAGTCACAATTTTGTTAAAACAACGAATTTGTTTAAGAACAAATCTTTAAAACTAATTAAAAAAAAAGCGAAAAAATAAATTTAATAAAAACGAATTTCATAAATTTTAATACATATTTCCTCAGTGGTTGTTGTTAATTGTTATGTATTGTTAATAAATGTTGTCTTTCATATTTCTCTATATTTTTGTGCTTTAGAAAAAAATTCCACTCTATATAAATTTATATACACACAAACACTTCTTTTAAACTGCCTTTTAAATATTATTTATATATAATATAAAATTCATTGTTTTGACTATTTTTTTATTTGATTTATATTATATAAACTGCATGACTTACACATGTATATTGGAAACAAATAAAACATTTTATAAACATTATTTAAATAGTTTATTAATATTATATTTTTAGTATTTTCATAAACATTGGGTAACTGTTTGCCGAGCATTAGGTCGGTTTTTAGTGAATATTTTTTTGAAATAGATTTAAATATTTATAATTCTTAAGATGAAATATTTATATAAAATATGTTTTTTAAACATGATTTAAAAAAACAATCTAAAGTTCGGTATTAAAAAAAAAGTTGATTTCATATTAATATTATACTTATAAATAATATATAAAATAAATTATATAATAAATTAATAAACATATACATGTATTTTATGTTTATAAAATATATAAAATAATATTTGTACCCAATATATTTTTATTATAAACTAATATATTTCATTTTACAGAATATATATTTATCATTTATTTATTTCTATTTGAGCCAGTGCACTTAAGCATTTTACTCTTTCTTAACTCGCGGTATTTTTAAAACCCTTGATATATTTAAACTTTTATTATTTGTATAACATTACTTAAATTTTTTTTGTTCATATATAGAATTAAAAAAAATTTAGTATATTGAGAAAGCTCAATAAATTTTAAATTTCAAAATTTTAATTTAATTTAATATATATAAAATATATATTTTTGTAAAGCTTTTTTTCCGTCCAATATGTCAAAACATTAAACTATGAAGTATTGTTTTATATAAATAAAACTACTTTTACTCTTATTAAAAACGATGGAGCACATATTTATTAAAGTAGATATATATATATATTATTAATCATTATATGAAATACAAATCTTTAAATATATACTTTTTATTTAAATGTTTAAATTTTAATACTTTCACTAAAATTTTTATGGTTTTTTTATATATCTATTACAATAGTAATATTAAATAATTTTAATTTAATTTATTTTTCATTTTTTTGTTTTTTTAAATTTTCATTAATAAATTTTTTTTCTATTTTTGCCTTTAGTGATAATTTTATGTCTGACTTCGATTTTGTGTTGAGTGGATAAAATAATATAAATCAATTTTAATATAATAATTATTTATAAAAATTTTTAAATATAATTATAAATCGAAAACAAACATACATAAATTAAAATTTTTAAACTTTAATAAATTAACGAAAAAAAAATTGATAAAAATTTACAACACGAAAACAAATTGCACAATTTAAGGAAAAAAAGAAACAACTTTAATATCGACAAAATATATATATACATACATTACATACAAATACATTAGAAAATATTAAGATGAATCCTTTTTGGATGAAGACTCACATTTTGGAATTTGTTTGGTCCTAGTTCTTCTCATATTAACATCCATTGAAAATTCAATTTCTTCAACTGTTTTGGTTTTTTAATTTTTTTGGTATGTATTAATATCTATATACTAATTTTCTATTATTTTTTTTTTGAAATAAAATTTATTATATACATATAAATTAGTCTAACGTAATCAAATTTATAAAAAATTTAAAATTCTTTATAGAATAATTTTATCTACAATATAATAAATACAATTAGGTTGTGATTAACCATTTTAATTTACATATTTCTATTATTCTTGTTACATAAATGTATATGTGTATTAATATAATGCTTTGTTGTAATTTGATTGTATTTTATTATATAAATTGTGAATGTTATATAGTAAAAGTATATTAAATGTTTTATCTTAAATAAAAAATAGAAATACTTATATATATTTTTATTTTTACATATAACTAAATAAAGGATATATGTCTTATATGCACTAAAACTTAATGATTAAATGTTTATTTTGGATAAATGTATAGTGACAAATACTTGCGAAAAATTTCAGTAATAATGGTTTCAAATGATCTATTAAGTATACACAAATGACATTTACTACTCTTACGATTGGATCTATTAAAATTAATTTTATATGTCACAAATTGTAGTATAAAAATTGTTTATTTTACTTTTATCATAAATAAACATTTTCTTTATTAAAGAAATACAATATACAATACGTGTAATGTTTATAAACACAACTATTTTTATAGAAATAAAAAATATATATTAAATATTTAATTGATCAATTAAATGACTTCAGAAACAAAACGAATTTAAACGTACAAAAATAGTATGTATACTATATATTATTACAAATGTAGAGAGTTTATATTAATTTTAAACAATTGTTGTGATTCAGGTTGATAGAAAATCTTTTATTCTCTTAAATAGATATATGGTATAACTTACCAAAAAATTTTTTCATTGCTCCTTAAATATCATAAAATAAGTGTTAAATTTTGACGAAATTATTTCAACTATTGCTTGAATGTTTTATATATATATATATATATAACAAGTTTTAATTTTACTAAGCAATGGACAAAAATGCTGCTTAGAAAAAAAATACCAGGTTAAAGAGTTTTGCGAAGACTCTACCTCAGGAAAAAAAATCACTTTTGATCAAAATTCAAGGCTTTACATAAAATATTTGACTTCGACAATTCATTACTCTAATTTTAACCATTCTAGTAAAATTAATATGTATATTTTTTTTTCATTTTGAAAACACTTTTTCCATCAATACATTTGTACACCCACATCTTACTTTGGTCTACACATTTTTTTTTATACATTTTATTATATACTTATTCTATAATACACACATATTTTTTTGAATGACTGTTTGGTATTGCAAACTCAATATAAGTTGGAATTAAGGCTCTTACTTATTTTTTGTATATCTCTTAAGGCTTTCACTAATTTTTTTTGTATTTCTCTTAACAAAAAAAAAAATGCAATATATTATTCGTAATTCCATATGCATTTTATACATCTAATTCCTTTAACAGTTCGTCGGAAGTAAATATGATTTTTCCATGAAACTGGAACTGTCCTGATCTCTTACTTCACCCCCACTCTTATCACTTATCGTCTCCACTTCCTCTTATTGTATATGTTGTGATACTACGTCTTACTATAGTTATGATAGAGCCAAATGCTAAACATATGTGCTGTCAATACCTAACGTGTGTCTACGCTGTAGTATTGCAATCCATTATGTCACTAATCCGTTTATTTCACAGTATACAAAAATCTCAACCCGATATACCACTTTTCCCAACACAGTTTAAACCCAATAATTAAACCCTATCCTCTACATCTGTGTCTTCATTTTCATTCGACACCAATATGATCTCTGTCACATGTTGTGTTTTTTGACTTGCTTGTCTACCTATGATTAAACACAATAACAAGCGACCCCAGGTATCTTTTGTTGAGACACTTCTGTGTGGCTAGGTGAAGACTTATTGTCCAAGTTATAGTATAGTATAAAAAAATAGTTTGACTTATTTAGTATTATATTTTTAAATAGATTTTACTAATATTGTGTTCTTTAAATTATAATAATTCAGATATATAAGTTTGGTTTTTTTTAAATAAGTTAGATTAAAATTAAATACTATCTTGTATTTTGCTTTAGAATAATATATTTTATAATATTTTATATTATTATAAATTTTTATTATTTTATAATATTTCGCATGTATTATTTTTATTATTATTCTAGTGATATTAGTCATATTGTTTATAAGTATATTACGTATTTTATATTTAATGTATAACTAATGCATGTTCCTTTCTTCACATTTTTGAGTTTCGTTTTAATATTTTTTATATATTTTCAGCATATTTACTACATACGATATATGTAGACATCCCTTATCAATCAATTTTTGTGTCGAATAAACCTAAAACGCATGTTTGTTCTAAATTTTCAATATCTGCGATGATTTTAAGTATATAAAAAGTATATAAAAGTAAAATAATATTTTCACAAAACATTTAATAGCAGTTAAGGATAAAAAATGTTGTGTACTTTTTTCAATGAATTTTTAAATGTAATTACATATTAAATGTATAATTCAAAAATATTTATTTTAAGCATGAATATTGTTGCAATGAATGTGTTTTATAATTGTAAGTAAAAGTAAAGCAAAATATAAATAAAAATATCTATATAAAATATTAATTGATCGCTGAGTAATATATATAGTTTGTTTCAAAATTTATTAGTTATTTTTAAGTTTATATTAGAATACTTTGTTATATTTTTTTTTACATAATTTTAAAGTAAATAATATTTAAATTAAAAGTATTTAACATGTTAAGAAAAACTTTAATTTTAATTGTTTTTAAATGTTTTATATTCATTCAAATAACTAAATGTAAAAGGAAACCTTTAATTTTAATTTAAGTTTTTTATTGGCTTCCATTTAATATAATTTAAATAAAATAAAAAAAAATAAAAAATAATTTAGAAAAATTTTTATTTAAAAACAAACGTTGCATTAAATGTGTACGTGAGTAACTGCTATAAATGTGCTGTATTAATATATATTTAAAATAAAAAAATATTTAATATGTAATAATATATTTATAAAGAAAAACTTTAAATATGGTAAATAAAAACCTAAAATATAGTGTTTAAAAAAAGATCGAAAAAAAATTTAACTGAATATTTATATATATAAAGTTATATATATTTTTAATGTTTACATATACATACAATTTATATTTACTTACAAATAACTTGAAACAATGATGTGTGTAGTTTTAACTATTAAATGGATTTGATAATATATGTTTCTATATATATTTATTAACATAAAAAAAAACATTAAAAATATATATATTGTTAAAAATTTACTTTACCTATTTCTTGGTCGTAAATCATGAAAGAAGTTTAAGAAAGATTAGTATGTAAGTGTAAAATTAAAAGTTGAAAATATAATATTTAGGGGGCTGCAATTAAATATTGATAAACATTGCAAATTGATGTAATAATTTTATCTAATTATGTATTAATTTACTGGTTAAAAAGTTATATTTCATAGTATAAACTCAATGGAAGAAAATGTTAGCATAATAATGTTAAACTTTGAAATCCACGTTTCTGATGATCAAAATAAAATTGGGTAAAAATTCAATTCAATTGCAGATGTTTAATAAAGATATATTTTAAATTACTAATACCTAAAACCACACACTGATTTATAGTTAATAAATTTTATTGTCGTGAAAGTATGTTTCAAACAATTCTTGTCAAAATGGCCAATAAATAAAAGTTAAATAAAATGTAAAAAAAAAAAACATGGTTTTACTTTAGATAACATTTTCAAGATAATAGAGTAATAGAGTCAAAATAACCAGCCATATGCTCAATTGTAAATGAACAAAAGGTTTGAAAAAGATGTCCAACTGTTTAAGTGTTATGCATCAACTTGCTTCCCTTTACCAACCCAAAATGAATGTGAAATCCTTTCCGCGTCTTTTTTCATGGACTATATTGTTCAATTCAAGAGAACGTAATTTGTTAAAAATAAACATATTTTCAGTCGTTTTTTAATATAGTAAAAACGACTATAGTAATATATAATAAGATAACATTATATGGTATTATATAATAATAATATAATAAAATAATAAGAATTAAATAAATGTTAATTTTAGATAGGTATACAGCAATACACTAATCTCTTTTAAACACAACACCGTTACTCCATATAACATATGGATCAAAAAAAGTTAATAAAAAGCGTAATGATCTGTTAAAACTACCTAACAAAATATGCTATATACCAGGTGTACCGGTATGAAATGAGCGTTTTTTGGTGAAAATAAAACACTAATTATTAATAGGAAAGTAAAAAACATTTTATTCAAAGTATTGGCCATTGCTTTCTACACATTTTGACCACCTTTCTGGCAATTTGTGGATACCACGCCAAAAAAATTATTCGTCTTTTAAAGCAAACCAACCAGACACCCAATTTTCGACCTTCTCGTAAGAATCAAAGTGCTGCTCAGCCAATGTGTGTCCCATCGATGAAAACAAATGGTAGTCGGAAGGAGCCAAGTCTGGTGAATACGGCGGGTGAAGTAGCAGCTCCCAGCCAAGTGTTTTGACTGCATCCTGAACCCGTTTTGCTTTGTGTGCAGGTTCGTTGTCATGGAGCAGAATTACCTTGCCGTGTCTTCTGGCCCATTCTGGTCGTTTCTCGATCAATGCATGGTTCAAATTTATCATTTGTTGTTCATAGCGACCAGCATTGACGGTTTCACCAGGTTTTAGGAGCTCGTGGTACACCACACCTTTCTAGTCCCACCAAACACACAGCATTGTCTTCTTGCCGAATCCATCTGGTTTTGCAGTCGATGTTGATGGTTGTCCCGGATTAACCCATGATTTTTTCCGTTTAGGATTCTTAAAATAAATCCATTTTTCATCGCCAGTAACAATCCGATGCAAAACCGATTTTCTTTCGTGTCTTTGAAGCAAAACATCACAAGTTTTTTTTCGGTTTTCCATCTGTCTTTCATTCAATTCATGTGGCACCCATTTTCCACACTTTTGGATCTTTCCCATAGCTTTTAAACGGTCAGAAATTGTTTGTTGTGCAACATTTAACATTTCTGCCATTTGCTTTTGACCCAAAGTGTCATCTCCATCCAATATCGTTTGCAATTCGGCGTCTTCAAACTTTTTTGGCGGTCTTCCACGTTCTTCATTTCTCACATCCCTGTCGGAACATTTGTATCTTTACCGGTACACCTAGTAAATCGTGGTATATAGTATTGAACAGTTAAAAATAATAATGGATATTCATATATATATATATATATATATAACTTTTAACAAATGCATCATCTAATCTATTACTGAATGTATTTTATCTTATTATAAAGACAAATTTACATATTCATATTTGAAAACTTACATATAATCTAAACACTTCCTAATCAAAAGAGATACAAAATATTCCTATTAAGGTTCTAAACCATTCTGTAAAGTAAATAATAGTTATAAACATCAACTTCAAAAAGCCTATCATGATAATCGGAATATTAGCAAAATTTTAAGATGATAACTTCACAAATGTTATCGGTAGGAAAGTTATGAACTCATTTTGCTTTGAACCACTGTTTCAATGTTTAATAATAAATCAAGTGAACTGGGATCCATTGATAACACACTTATTAAAAATAGTCACTTCATATTTAGAAGATTTGATGTGAATTATAATAATTACATCTTACTTACATTAAATCATAGTTTGTGTTATTAAGCATTATCTCTAACCAATGATATCTGTGTAGTTCACTTTCATCCACTGTTATAACGCGAAAAGGATCCAAAACTCTCCATACAATTGTAATAATATAGCTTAGCACATTTATTCCCAAACAAAATAAGGCAAATAGTCGAAAGCAATTGCATATATGGAAATATTGATGGTATACTTCATATAGTAAATTTCCATACATTGCTAAAATCATAACATATTCTAGGATGTCGTTTAAAAGCTTATCACTCATACTTTTAGATAAATTAGTAACTATTTTCTTAAAATTTTAATATACTCCTAATCGAAAATTATTAGAATGTATATAGAAAATTAAATGAATTAGTGAATAACTAAATATTTAAGGCATACTCAGTTTAAATATGGTATTTTCTGTCAAATTAAATATATGTTCATTTTTTGACTAAATTAAAGTTAGAAACGTGATATATTAATGTTTAATATAATAATACGATATTTAAGTTATTATTATACATAACTATTACATATTCCATCGAGATGCCATCTAAAAAATTGACGCCTATGTAGATTTCTGTTACAGACTAAGTTGTTACTCTGGTTTTGTATGTTATTATTGCTCTTGTATCTTATCGTGATACCCAAACAATTCCAGCAGGCTCGCAATAATATAATATACTAGAACTACTATATTATAAAGATCCTTAAAATATAATTTCATTTATGGTTTTATTAAATGAATTTCATGACATCGCTAGAAACGTAGGTTTAACTATTTATATTTAGCATCTGATATGATAACGTTTAAATTTGCAGAAATCAATATTTTCGTTACCATAATTAATTACAATCACTGTTCGCAAAATTTTAGGTAATAAAGTAATTTTATGAATCTAATTTAATTTTAATTTGATAATGAAAATACCGTATACAAATTTAACATATAGCAAAAACCCGTATTTTTAATTTATTAAAATTAAAATACATTGTAATACTAAAACCAGTTAAACTAGGGTTAATTACCAATTTAAATAATAATAACTCGTACAAATAACTGGTTATTCTAAAGTCTTGAGAAGAGTACCTGATGCAATATGTGATTGAAGTGAATAATGCGCTTTATTCTTTTTTCTAGCAGGACATTTATACTAAGCGACGTCAAAGTCCATAAAAAAATAACGTTCGATAATTGTAAATAAAGTATAATCCAATCGTATTGAGAGTATTGAGTAATTGATGCAGTGAGATGCATTATTATTATATATCCAAATTGAACACTTGGTATTGGTTGGTTGATGCAGTAAGATGGATTCAAATATATCAAAATAGATGGCTTGGTGCTATATGTTTGGGTTAAAGGTATTGCCTGTATGATATAGTAATATGAATTTATTACTATATATCTATAAATAGATAACTTGGTGGTATAAACTTGTCTTGAGGGTATCCGTTGACTTATGCAATAAGATGGATTTATTATTATACATCTAAATAGATAACTTAGTGCTATAGGTTTGTCTTGAGGGTATTTATTCATTGATGCAATTAAATGCATTTATTACTATATGCCTAAATACAACACTTGATGCCATATGCTTGTTAGACATCTCAAACATACAACTTCAAAAAATATTCTTCTTAAAAGATTTTTAAAAATCCTTTATTTTTAAACTAAGAACTTCATATCTGGATCTGTGGTAAGAAAACGTTGGCGTTGCGCTACTTAGGCATAAAAGGAACCCAGAAAATTATAGTTTTTGGACTTGACACTGTAATTATTTAATGGTATTTTAAAATTTATATCGTCTAATTAACTAACTTTTATTTAAAGAGAAAATTTTCGAAAAGATAGACAACTGTTAGAATGCACTTGACATGACATATTTAATAAGTTACTTCTAGAATAAATGGACTTGGTACTGTTAAAAATATCATAGGTTTAAATAAATTAATAAACACGAAACTATGGACTTGAAAATAATTATTTAATAATAAATATGAATTATTATTAATTATATTTGTTTTAATAGTTCAGCTTGATTAATTAACATTTTTATTACTATATTGTAAATTTTTATGAAGTACTTCCTTAGAACAACCTACATCCGGAAATATCGACAAAATCTCGTATGACAGTTACACATCAGAGTGTAGTAAATTGATTTAGTAACTTTAATTTAAATTTGTTAATACTAATAATAATGAATTAAGTAATTATTTATTAAATTGCGGTTTTATTTATTGTTGTAAGTGCAAGTGTTTGAAATTTTATTTATTTTCAGCTCACATTTTGTGCTAAGA